TCGCGTTGAACAATTTATAGCGCAGTCTGCAACCGTGGCACGCGCCGGTTAAACCGGTCGGTCCCGCCAATCGATATCGGGTCGAGTACGCCCCTTGGTAACAGGCGACACATCTCACATGACATTTCTGTAAAGTTTTTTCAATTAGACAGTTTAGAAGAGGGATGGTGAAAAGATATTTGATTTATCGTTTATACTTCACCGATTTATATTTAACTGCATTAATGATACTCGGAACTTTTCAAGTGCATCGAGGAGCTGTTCGGATGATTTGAATCTTGAGGCTGAACGTCAATTCGGATCTTTCGAGCTGAACTTTATTAAAGGCGCGGCATTTCCATATCGAGAGAGAAAGAGAAAGACAACGTGACGATTGGACATCTGCGCGATTAGAGTGAAACGACAAATTTCCAATTCAAATTTCCAATTCTGCTTCAATTGTTTTTATTGCCCAAACCACTCGATTTCTATTTGATTGTTCGTGTGAACGAAGCTACAAAACATTCGGCAAAAATACGGCGGGCTAAAGATCACGCCCATTAAAAGCGGTTAACCGAGGAATCGCATCGGCGAAGGCGCGTAGCGTGACGCGCGCGTTTATGTTCTTGCATATGTAGATATATATATATATATATTCGCTCGCGCCAGCGGCGAACTAACGCCACTTGGGGGGCAGACATATGAGCACACATGGGGCGGCAGTCACCACCTGGCATCGGCGTAGTTGAATACCGACCCACCCCTATACGTACACGTAACTACGTACCCCTGTAAGCGCGGTGCGACCCCAACCCCTCGACTTGGCTCGTGCCGCCTTACATTGTCGTAGGATGTAGGATGTCGGCGACGTTTTCGTTTACGAAAGGGGAGAGACAGACGGAAGGTGGAGGAGAAAGGTCGCGGCAAGACGTTTATTGCAGGCGAAAACCGGGCTTCCCCGATCTTCCTCGCCCTTCGCCGTGTCTCTCGCGTGTGTCTCCCGTTTCTACCCGCCTCGCGCTCGTCCGCTCGCACGCTCGAACTGGATACGCCGATGCGTATCCGATCGCGATGCAACGTGGAGATGTACGCCAGTGACAAGACAAGAGTCAACGAACTTGGCGAGTCTAGCTCAATACGCTGATTGCGATATCGATTACAGGCAAGCCGCCTGTGTCGTACGCATTCACACGCGCGCGCGCGCGCGTACACACGTAAAAAAACAATACGCAACTTTTGTGATGAATGACGGTGCACGTTCACCGGTCACAAGCGGGTAGGGACGACTAGCTAGCTGGTGAGTACTTGCTCCCCCGTTCGACCAATAGCGGGATTCTGCATTGTGAGGGTCGATAGGTTATCGGTTACCCGTGGCTCGTGGATGCCACGTGCGGGTACGTTACATACGTCATTTGTCACAAGTGGTGACAATGTAAATTTTATCTTTCTGCGATAAACGATTTTTCTAATTGAAAATCGTTTTGTTCATTGAATTGTTATTTATAATAAATGTTTAAAATATTATTTGTGCGAAATAATTTGTAGGGATTTTAATAAAAATTAATTTTATTGGTTAAATTAGTCTGTGCTGTATATTAACAAATTTTTTTATGCAAATCTGGAATAAGTTGGTGGATATTTAAATAATATATCGGATTGATTTTTTTGAAATTTTTGATTAACTCAATATTTGATTTTTAAATGTACGATTTATATTTGTTTTCAAATATTTTATTTAACTTAAATGTATCGTCTTTTGACAGTTTAATTGTGACAAATTGAATATTATTCACTGTTCAAATAACTATTGTGAATATTTAAATGAAGATTTGCACACATCAGGAAGTTTGAACTCTAATTGACGATTTAATCTTTTGCGCGGCTTAAAATATTGAAAATAATTTGTATCTCGTTGGTAACCGATGATCGACGATTCAATTATTATTGTTCGCTGTTAAGATGGGATTAGACAGGATTGGAAAAGGACAGAAAACCATTTCAAATCTAATCAACGTTTACGGAAACGGTTTGTAATCATTTGCGATAAACAATTTAAACAACGATTAACAATTTTACCAAAGTACCATCCGTCTCGTGTTTATGGATACTTGTATCCCATTTTATGGGGCACAGGATCGTGTCACATGTGTCGGCTATATCCAGCCGCAATAACAAAATAGATTTCGGCTTGTACGCTTGTACAGGCTGCTGTTTTATTTTTAACCGCACTTGCGGGATCTGTATTCTTAATCGTATATGAGGGACTTCGTCGCGGGTGACAGAAACGGCTGGCGCGTACGTGTTTCTGGCGTTTGCGCGCGTATAGGAAACGGATGTTAATCTAAAATTAGAAAAGTTCACGATATGTCGCCTTTTCTTCCTTGCGTGGCATTAGTATTACGATTCGGTCTGCTTGCCATGCACGCTCTGCCCCGTGGCTTTGCTCTAGACTCGCCAGAGACTCACGACCGTTGAAGAGTGTACTTGCACATGTTACACAGCCGCCGCCTGGCTGCCGTTTGTCCTGGAATGTCGCGTTAATTAGTGGGAGGGGTCCGATCGTCGTTCACAGTTGACTTTACGCTCGTATAAAGGCCGTGTTCGCACCGACGTTATTATATTAATTTCGGACCGCCAGCATGTGGTTTACTTGAACAAATAGTGACGAGTAGATCAGTGAATGATTATCCTGTTGCCTTTCACGACAATACTTTGTTTACCGACATTTGTCGGTATCTTTGATTATCAGAAATCAATACTCTTTTGCACATTTCGGACTTGATACACGAATTAAAAAAAAAAACGAATCTAATATATTCGCGTTCGTAACAAAGTACATGTAGCGCTTCAGCCGTTAAGATACTTTTGCGCAATAGGCAGAGTTGGAGAAGTGCGCAAAAGAGCAGCTAGGATATACTACGAGTATTGGTGCGAGCGCGAACGAAGCGAACCGAGGAAAAAACGTTGAAAGCAGCGATACGTTGAACCGACCTTTTACCAGGCCAAAGGGCCTTCGACTCGGCGCTACGTTCGCCTGAAAATTCGCGTCGTGAATTCATTCTTGTGTTACGTTCGTCTCGATGAACGCATAGAGGCAGAAACAACCGGGGTTATTGCGAGGGTGCGTGTCACGGCGAATGCCTCGACTTCCTGCGGAAATATGTTACGGTGTAAACACGAGAGGTGGCTTTGCGGTTGTTCTCTTTTCAGTCTTGCTCTTACATCCTACTTATTTTTTTGGATTTTTCTATCTACAGGATTTATCATCTCTTAATCTTTGCATCTAATTCTTTTTGTATTCAGTTCCCTTTTGAATGTCTTTTTTTCTCGGATTCAATGCTTAATTTAATGTTGGACTCAATTTCGGTGATCGTTCTCGAAAGGTCTTTGTTCAACTTTTGAAATAGTGATCGGATGTCGATTAGCACGATCAAGTTTTCGAGAAAGTGGCTGAGAAAGGCCTTAGAGGAATCTTTTGTCCAACAGCTCTCCGAGTTGACGGGAGTTAGTTTAAATTTGGGGGCTACGCGGGAGATATTCCTAGCGCCTTAAAAATCCTTGTGCTTGAAATAAACCACTCGGCAGCAAAAAAATATAAATGAGGAAACATAAATCACCATAGTATCATATGTAATTGTCAAGTGTATAAGAATTGCTACTTGAAACAGTTTTTAGCTTATGCTGTTTTCTTTGTTTAAATTTATATTACTGAAAAATATTGTCAATCGACAGAACATTAATATATTTTTTAAACACTAGAAATCTGTTTCTGTAAGAAATCATTACGTTCATATTTTTGCTTGTTTATTGTTTGAAATAAAATAATCAATAAAATGATTTAATGAGATATCCAATATCTCATTGCGCAAGAATGGTACTTAAAAGAATTTTACTTAAATGACTTGTGATTTTCTGAAATTATATAAATAGAAGATACGATATGAAACATGTATGCTACGTGGTAACATTTCATCGTTGAGGATTAAACTGTTGCGTCGACCCTTCGTCTCGCGACACATGAACTGATTAAACGACCGGCCCTTCCCGTCTTGTATTCTTCCGGTCTAACTGTAGGCTGGTCTCGCATTATGTGGGAGAAAGGGCTGTCTCTACGCATCGCACGACGCAAAAGTTAGTATAAATTAATCCATGAATTCGCATGCTGCTTAAGTATGTAGAGAAATAACAAAAATATTATTAAAATTTTACCGTGATAAAATAAATTTTTATCACGAAAGCTGTTTGAATATTGCAGCTGAAATAACCCAGACGATTATCGTGCGAACGTTTGTCGATACATCGGTTATTATTTATCGTCCATAACAAATGTTTAAAACTATCCCACGATCCGGAAATTCTCTAATAATTTTTTTCGCTCCACGCATACACATGGTACGCACATGCTTTCTATACTACGTTTCTCAAATTTCGAGATACCTGAGCGGCGTTTGCCGCGCGGAGGTTCGCCCCAATTGCAATTTTCAATGAAACCAGCAAGTTACAGATGTGGTGGTGTTCTACGATAGCGACGGCGATGTCGGCGCGCGGCGCGATAATTCTTTAATTCTTGAACGGTGATCATTATCTCTCCACGGCTCCGACCGTTGGAGAGATCGATTGTTATCGGGGGGAAAAAAAAACGAAAGCAATTTTTGAATGGGCAAATAAATGAACGGGCGACCGCGAGACGTGCGCGTGATTTCACGGCGGCGCATTCGTGACGACAGCGTCTGCATCTTTGCATTTGCGGTCGGAAGATTCGCGAGAATAGGGATATCGGTATCCATATAATGCGAATCCTATGAAAGAGAGAACATGTGTTCCCTTTGATAATCACGATTCGCTGGTTCGGTCTTTTGTGCGCGAATATTTTCTGCCGCGCACGAATGTGACATTTATTGTGATTTCTCGCCGCTGACTTCCGAAAGACTGCGATCCCTTTATGAGATTCATTTCGACGATAATGAGTGCCGCTGTTGCAGAGCGTGAATTAAATCTCTCTCTTTCTCTTTTGGTTTCAGGTAGCTGTGGTTCCTGTCATCGCACGAGCGATCAGACGAGCGAAGGGTGAGCTATTATCTTTTTGCATTATTTACACGGAAAAAAGAATTTTGCTATCGCAGCGAAATCGGCGCCACTGATATAAATTTTGACGATAAAATCAAAATTTTTTATAATAACGATATAATTTGTAGATCCGTAAAATTATTTTCGGTAAATTAAATTGATACTCATAATAAATCTCTTTGCTGTCCATTTAAAATTCTGCTACGATTAGCAAATTTTTTTTCCGCGTATACTAAAATATTATCTGTGCCAACTTTAATTTACGATATATTTGTCGTGAAGCGAAATGATTTCTTTTAATTAAAATATCAATCTCTTGAATATATAATCATAAAATCAATAGAAATAAGAAGACTGAAACATTGAGTACTTAAAACGATGGGTTTTAAAAAAGAGTTTATGACAACGATATTATTTATTGTAAAGTGCAAAAGCTGTTATCACAATTGTCAAAGTTGTTTAAACCGCCGAATCTCCACTCTTTTTCTGACGCGCACGTTCGCTCGTGCTCTCGAAACGCGCCGCGGTATTTGATCAGCTATAAAGTAAAGGGCGTCACACGCGATTAGAAATAGTCGCACGATTATTAATCCGTAGAAACGCGTTCTGTACGGCTCGCCAGTTGCGTGAGAATTGCCGTTCGCTTTTCCACTCGTTACACCATCACCAAGGGCTCCATTCATGCTCTCGGTTCATTCATCGGTTTCACCAAGGTCCTTTCTCTCTTTAGACCGAGTCCTCGTCGGTATCGTCAATGTCCTTGTAATGTAGGAATCCAAATGCTGTAGAAACCCCAGACTTTAGTCCAAGCGCAGATCCGAGCCGTTAGATCTCGTTTTCGAGGCCTCTCTGCCCGCCCATCTTCCTCTCACTCGCTCTCGCCATCCTCTCTGTCTGCCCATCTTTCTCTCACTCGCTTTCGCCAACCTCTCTGTCTCGTCCTTTTTTTAATCCGAGATCGGGCGGGAAATGACATGCGCTTGTCGGTAAGCCTTTACGCCACCCACGCTTCTTCCTGTCGATGTTTACGCTTTCGCGTTATAAAAAGGAAAATATTCCGTTTTATTCGAGCTATTTGACACTATTGCAAGCGTATTTTTAAACAAAACATGCTTGACGGCGGAACTTATTTATTTGAATTATTAGACTTTTCAAGTTTTTTTGCTCTTCTTTTTGTAATTTAAATCGTTGTCATTGTCAGTGCTTTAGAACACAATTTTTGCCATCATGCGATCCTGCAGCTTTAAGTACACGTATTAGATCCTATCGCACTAGAGATATTCGAGGCGCTGCACAAAAGAACCGGATATGCTTTGAGAATCACTACACCTACGCCTTTTGTTCTTCGTGCGATCGTGATTTATGGAATAACAATGCAGATTGCTATCATTTAATATATGTGCGCATTATTAATTACTATACTTTATATTGCACAGCGAGACATAAAAACGCGGCAAATATTAATTTGTTTGTCAAATTTAGCGACATGTCTACGTAAAACGTACATTAAAGTTAACTTAATATTTATCGCGACAGCGAAGATGAAGAAGATAATTAATAAAGTAGAAAAGCAGGTTTTCTTTGTTCGTAGGCGAAGAATTTATTTCCTTTCGGTATGCCGCGTTTCTTTAAGGGTCTTTCTTGATGACTATAACCACAGCCTTCCAACCCCCGCCGCACGACCCGCCCTCCTTCTCTTTAACGCTCTTCCTCGCCTCTATTTATCTTCGTATGAAGAGAAGTATACGACTGAAGAAGAAGTATACGACAGAGTCTACTCACGTAGAATGTAGTAGAACTTGTTCTACTACGACGCAATATTTCGAATGGATACAATCTAACGGTCGGAATTCTCAGTTCTCTAATAGTCGAATGCTGGAGTCTGGGATGATTACGTTATCTATTGTCCAATTTCTTTTTCAACTCGCGCAACCTGTTAATATAAATTACATGCATCTCATGTTAATTTACTCTAAAAATAAAATGTGTATTGCAATATAAATTTTTGTATAGAAAGAGAGCTTTAGCTTTTCTTCATTGAAATTTTCTACGCACGATTATATTTGGTTTTATCATTAATATTTAACCAAGCCATCAATTTTCATCACCAATCGGAAATATTTGCGTTAATTTACTCTAAAAATAAAATGTGTATTGCAATATAAATTTTTGTATAGAAAGAGAGCTTTAGCTTTTCTTCATTGAAATTTTCTACGCACGATTATACTTGGTTTTATCATTAATATTTAACCAAGCTATCAATTTTCATCACCAACCGGAAATATTTGCGTAAATAATCACACTGAAGACAGATAGTACGGCAAAATAATTATCTAGAACTAGCAAGAACAATTTCAAGCGAAACCTGTTATTAAAAGGCGGAAATAAAAACTAACAAATTATTTTAGTAAAGTTAAATTCGCTATTTGCTACAAATAGAAATTATTTTTTATTCTTCTTTTTTGTATATCACTTGCGTCAATTATCGGATGTCAGTACACGGGGAAAAAGATGAGCAGTACAGACATGAATTTTAGGTCGACAGCGCTTTTTTATCGGACAATACCGTGTATTGTACTGCGTATTTCCGGTTGAATCGCGAGGACGCAGCTGATTCTACGAGTATCATGCTTGTCGCCCGCATTAAAGACGCCGCACGGAGGCGAACTTTAAATTTAATCTTGGTATTACGATAACTGTAATGTTTGAACTGCGCCTTTCTCAGGAGGTTCTATCGTGAAAACGCATCACACCGAGCGCCGATAACGATGTTTGCGCGTGCAAGCTAATCGGAGAAATACGAGATCGGCATGCTGTAAGCGCCATGTATATGACTCGTTGGTTTATTAAAGAGAGAAAAAAAAGAAGATTAACTTACGAACGAACTGAAGCGTCGTGAATGGCACAGATCCAAGCTGCGAAAAGCAAAATAAATAATTTGCATTAATAATTTGCTCACAAATATATAAATTACAGAGCAGGAGGATGTAAATTCTAGATTTGGCAAGTTTTTTTGATATTTTTTCGTTCATTGATTCATCTACTCTTTTGTTTCGTCGTCCCTATCTCTGCGAGAAACAGTTGCTTGAAAAATATGTGGGAGGATTAGCGTTGCCTTGTAATTCTACGATAAACCCGTATAGGTCACTAAATTGAATTCCTCAAAAAGTCCCTCGTGACATTAATACTTGGTTACGCTCCGACTCTCAGAAGAGCGGAGAGACATTGATAAGACACGAGCGGAGACGAGAAGTCGCGGCTGAAAACCGCAACGCGATAGCGGAACGTCGTGTTTTGTATGTACTCGCATAGCCGACTGAAGCACGCCCGAGGAAACTTACGCGCGTATCTCGCGGTGAATGCAAATGCTCTCTTCTACCGGCTCCTCTCGTTCCCAGAAGCGTTGTTGAAGCTTCGCCGAACGGCATTCCGAGCGGCGGGTACGCATTGGCCGCCGTTTCCCGCCAAGACGTTCCCGCGACGGGGAACCAGTTTCGGCACGTCGTGTCGCGCCGAGGCCGAGGGAATTCTCCTCAGCTGATCGACGGTGCGAAGCGCCGACACGTTCCTGCTCCTTTTCTGCTTCCTCTGATAAGTTTAAAAGTTTCTTCTGTACTTTCGATAGCGTTAATTATCTTCCGATAGCTTTAGATATTTTTTCAACCTTCCATTCAACGCCAACGAGTAATCTTTTACGTTTATTAGTATTCTTTCGGCGCCTGTTTTCTTTCGAGCCCGACTTATATCTCAATTGAATAATCTCATGATTAAAATGTTCCACTCGTATTATATTCGTGCTATACATTGTTTACACCGGAGTTTCGGTTATTTAGTACAAATTGCGTACGAATATGGTCTTTGACACACTAATAAAACAATCGATCTTTAATTTTAAGCTTGTTAAATATAAATAATTTCTAGTCGTTTATTTTATGATAAAATATTAAACATTACAAATGGTCGAAAATGATCAGAATATAAGAAATTTAATTAACAGATAGATGAATTGAATAAAATTTGCTTATTATTTTTTTAATATAACTTTATTTCGCAAAATTGAGAGAAGTTCGATATTTTTACACTTTATTGAGATATGATGGCTTCTATCACAGCTCTGATTAGCTTTATCGTTGATAGAATTCTAAGAAGCATGTAGTGCAATTCGTAAATCGTTCGATTGATACGTTTACGCGGGAAAAAGAGCGAGATAGAATTCAGGCGCCGTCTTTGCTGATCGCTTGTGACAGCTAGCACGCACACAAACGCGCACGCTCGACAATATCCTCGTTTCGCGTGTCACATTCCGATGCTCGATTTTATTGTACTTTTCCCCTATTAGGATTGCTTTTATCAACAACAACCGCCCGAGGATACCAGAGGAGAAATCTCTGAAAGAGGCATTTTTTCGCAGCACGTTCCCGCGGGGCGTTATACATTGAATAGGGGCGCATCAACGTATTGTTGCAACATGATGCACCGTAGATCGCCAAAGTTGCCGCGCGTTTCTCCGCCGCTTCGACAGAAGGAGCGGCACTCCTCCCCCTCTGTCCTCCCTTTAATCATGCGCCGTTCTTTCGCGGAGAATCCAGGCTCTTTTCTCGACCGGGATGACCGATCTCGGAG